CGTCATTTTTTTGTCGCAGCCATATAATAAACATATTGTTCAGAGTTTTTTTTGTCTATTTTTCCAACACAGGTGGTTTGACTGCTGTTATATATACCGACACATTACAGGCGTTTTTGATGGTAGGGGGCGCCCTCACTCTGATGGGAATGAGTGAGTACACACCTTAACAGTAATTTTAACTTTTTTAAAAGTCTTAAAACTTAAAAGTTGACTTATGCAATTCCTGGTAAGGGTGCTAAATAATTTTAACGTTTCTTTTTTGCTAAAATGCAATGTTTAACCTAAGGTTTAAGTTTAATGATACACATCTAGTTATAAATATTCTACAGAATATATATTTTAAAGACAAATTAAATACATGTCGCAGTTACATACATCTTGTTTACTTTTTTTTACAATTTCAGGTTTCTGGAAACTTGGAGGCTACGGTGAACTGGTTCGCACCTTCCCACAGGCCATACCTACAAAACTGGTCCCCAATCAGACCTGCGGCATCCCTCCGTCCAACGCCTTCCAGATGCTGAAGGAAGCCAGGGATAACGACATGCCATGGGCGGGGTTCCTCTTTGGGCAGACCCCTGGCTCCATCTGGTATTGGTGCAGCGACCAGGTGTGTGGAAGAGAATTTGTTTTCAGACGGGCACAGGGCACAGGGATTACGCATGTTTGTGCACGCACTCACGCAAGCAAGCATATTATTCCAACCTTTAAAAAAAATCAGATTTATTTAACTCTGAAGTACGTATTATTCCGGATGGGCAAAGTACAGGCTATGAAATCATAACGTTAGCATGAAAACGTTTACTTTGGACTTTTTTTGATAATTTTCGAGCTGCGGTACATGTCCATGAAGTATGTAACTAACGCGGTGGCAAAATTCGTAAATTTTATTAAAATCTTTTAAATGGACTCTTATCAGTGGGTTATCTGCAATGTATTCCCAGGTTATCGTCCAGAGAGCGCTGGCTGCTAAGAGTCTTTCCCACGCACAGGGGGCGACACTTATGGCGGGATTCATCAAGATACTCCCGCTGTTCATGATGGTGATGCCAGGCATGATCAGCAGGGTGTTCTACCCAAGTGAGCTTTTATTTATTTATTTATTTATTTATTTATTTATTTGTTTGTTTGTTTGTTTGTTTATTGATAAAGCAAAAATATAATTTACCTAGCCCTAATTAATCGAGTATAAATATTGATCTACAACACTTTAAAAAGTTTAAAAATGCAAGAGTGAAACACATAGCTCTCACGGAAAATATACAAAAGTCTAATGGAAAGAAAGTTTTGGAGGAAAGGGGAATAGAATAGGGTGCCTTCGAAATGAAGGGAATACTTAGCCCATTACGCCCCTCCCATCATTCCTTCACTGCAACAGAAATGTTATGCGATACTTTTTTATTTTTCTAAATTTATTTATTTATTTATTATTGGATTGTTTTTTTTTTTTGTAGATGAAGTGGCATGTGCTGATCCAGAAGAATGTTACAAAATTTGCCAAAGCTATGCGGGTTGCACTAACATTGCCTACCCTAAACTGGTACTGGGAGTCATGCCCATCGGTGAGCTCACTTAAATCATATGACGTCACGATGACAACCAACGTTGAACATGTGACGCAAAGAGTGCCTCTATCAATTTGACGTCACAGGAGTTGTGTCGTTATCAAGTGCCAAAGAAAAAATAATTCATGCATAAAATCATGTGTGAATTTAGTCATCGCAGCAGGACTTTGTACATGTACATGTAGTTTATAACACCCATCAATTAAATATGATGAATTTTCATATCAACGCCTCAAATAACTAAAACAAGTGACGATTCGTTAATCAGGTCTTAGAGGACTAATGATGGCGGTGATGATCGCTGCTCTGATGAGTGATCTGGACTCCATCTTTAACAGTGCCAGCACACTGTTCACCATTGACGTCTGGAAACGGTTCCGTAAGCAAGCAACAGTGCGCGAGTTAATGATAGTGGGACGGTAGGTAAACGTATACATCTAAGTATTTCCCGATGCTTCGTGTATAAAATCATTAACTTTTAAGAATGTCACACAAAAGACACTTAAATGCAAGTTTTGGAGCAAAGACTCTTAACGTTTTGGCTGCAAGTACATGAGGGTGGGCTTGTATATAATCGAAATGTCACTGACTATAATGAGAATAATGATGATGATGATCACACCGAGTTTCTACTATGGATACTTGGTTTAATACTTGTAATCATTCCAAAGTATGCAATTACTGTTTGTACTCTTAAGTTAAGAATTTTGTTTGATCCTTCCAGCATTTTGTTTGAAAATATGGTATTGCCAGTGCAAACCATGTATGGTATCTTTTTTTAATGAAAGTTTTTATTTATTTATTCAGCTAGTTATTTTGTTTCGTCAATACACAGTGTATGTACATTGGTAGTTGTGTAAGGTTTTCTGTGTTTGTTGTGTTAGCTAGGATTGTGTTCGGTGTGAATCGTGTATGTTCGTATGTGTACGTGGAGGTCAAGGGTTGAAAGACCGCGCCCCATAAAATTTGATTTCCACCTGAGAGTCGGACGGAGATGCAGGTTGAATAACTGAAATAGGTATTCCAGTGAGCTTGCAGATATTTGGAGATATTTGGAGATATTTGTAGATATTCNCTTTTTTTAAATTCTATCTGTTATTCCATTTAAGCAGTGGTTGTTTGAAGTCAAAGGTCTTCGACGTGACGGTATTTATTCCGATGCCGTTTTATTACATGCGATCAGAAGGTCACTCAAAGGTCCTGCGTCTGATGTTTTATATCACCTTGGTTTGGTTCGGAATGTCGCATTCGATGGTAAACACAAGATTGCTGATAGATGGCAGAGTGAAGTGTTTGTGGTAGTAGATCAGCCGAATGATGGTATTCCAGTGTATGTAGTGAAAAGAGAAGATGGTGCAGGAAAATCAAAGACACTACATCGAAACATGTTACTTCCCATCTATGAAATGAAACAGGAATATGAAGAAAAACAGAATGAAGAACTTGCAGAAGTACGACCCACAAGAAGTAGGAACAGGCCAGAATGGATGAATAACAAAGATTGGATATTGTAAATAAAATTATATGGCATAATAAATATAAATCAATGATTGATGTTGTTGTTGTTTTTTTAATGGTGTGGAACCCATTTCGGGGGGAGGGGAGAATGTAAGGTTTTCTGTGTTTGTTGTGTTAGCTAGGATTGTGTTCGGTGTGAATCGTGTATGTTCGTATGTGTACGTGGAGGTCAAGGGTTGAAAGACCGCGCCCCATAAAATTTGATTTCCACCTGAGAGTCGGACGGAGATGCAGGTTGAATAACTGAAATAGGTATTCCAGTGAGCTTGCAGATATTTGGAGATATTTGGAGATATTTGTAGATATTCGTACAACAACAATAAAGAAACATCTACCCGAGCTATCGGTCTGTTACAGTTGTGACAGATGTGCTGGTATTTCCAGAGTCTTCGTGCTCGTCATGACGGCTGTGGCGGTTGCCTGGGTACCGGTTGTCAAGGAGATGCAAGGTGGTCAGGTGTTCTTCTATATCCAAGAGGTGACCAACTACCTAGCGCCTCCTGTTGCCGCTATTTTCATCCTTGGGGTCGTATGGCCCAGAATTAACGAGCAGGTAAGTGCAAATGTCATTGGATATTCTAGCAGCTCGTAGCATCTAAGTAGGAGGAAATCAAATGCAAAATGGTGAACCTTGGGGCATACCGGAATGATTGCATCCAAAACTTAAGAAAGTATTTGTTGAACAACTGAAGGGTGCTGGTTATATCTTCTGTTCTTTATTCTTTTAGTGTTTACAAAAAGACGCGTTTCCAAAGGTTATGACTTATAAAAACAAGTAAGGATTTCAGCAATATAAGAAAAAAAAAAAGAAGAATTTGGAATTTGCCGAGTTTTAATACGAAAGGAAGTGACGAAGGAACTTATTCTTTCTCCTTTGAAAAAAATCCAAAACTGTATATGTTGTGCATCTACACAGTGTTGAGACATATAAGGGCCGTTAATTTTTAAATTATTATTATTATTATTATTATTATTATTATTATTATTATTATTTCTTCTCTAAAACAGGGCGTGTTTTGGGCATTAATGGTGGCCTTGCTTACGGGGGTCACTCGCCTGGTCGTCGTGTCCATTTGGCCAGGCGCACAGAAGTGCGGGGATGTCGACGATAGGCTGGTTATCATCAAGGATTTCCAGGACATGTACTTTGCCATGCTGTTGTTCTGGATGACTGTCATTGTCGCTGCCATCATCAGTTACTGTACGGAGGCTCCGGAAGAGAAACGCGTGAGTTTTTAAGCATTTTTTTTATAATTGATATGGCTTCGTTTGTCAGATTTTAATTTAATATAGTTAAAATATATATCTTTACATGCATGATTGAAAACATTGAAATAAAAATAAGCCGATCTATTTCAAGACTGAGGGCTAGTGTAGTCTACACGTGTATTTGTAGGCCTGCTGTTTGGTCACACAAAACAACAAACAGCACGTAAAGGAGACTACAAGTATGTAAGATAGATAGATAGACAGATGCTCTGTTTCTTTTAAACTAGATTCAAAGGTCATTCTCAAAAGGAATTTAAAATATTTCTGTTGCAGTTGATCCGCACGACATTCTGGACGCGGCATGACAATCGTGACAGAGAGGAAGTGATAATGGAGTCCAAGTCCGGCATGCATTTCGACGATATCTCTAAGGCAACCACCAACTCCATGGAAACGGGGCTGGATAACCCTGGCTTAGAAAAGGGGGAAAGTAATTCAAACCTAGGTAAGTCGTATTCCGAAGTCCAATATGTTGGTAATTATTTTAAGACAAAAGGCATCGCAAACTTTTAGACAAGAAGAAATTATTGTACCCTCCAAAATAAATCTAATCCGTGCCTTTTCATAGCAAAAACACATTTTCAACACAACAGATATCCTACCAAGACATGGGATTTGACCTACTATGTGTAATTTTATTTACAGATTCTGACAAACAAAAACCAGTGTTTACCGTGTCCGCGGAATCAGTAAACAGGTACAATCCTGGTAATACATCGGATGAAGTGGGTGGGTATACTGATATGGCATTTTTCATTTATTCATTGTTTTATTTATTTGTTTATTTATTTGATATACCTTTTCAATAAAGTAGTTGGTGGAAACTTTTTTACCTTTTGGGTAAAAGTACACTTTTAACTTAAAAAGGAAGCAAGAAGTTTTTCAAGAGCTTTAATCCGACTTCAGTATCTCTTTTTAATAATGAAACGTCGGTACATTTCAGTCAATTACTTAATCTAACTTTTTTAAAATTAAGCCACTGTCTTATTTCATTTAATTTTTTAGCCTAGGGTAGTAATCAAATTTCCGTTTTTTATTTATTTCACAATAAATTAACAGTGGCTGAATGACCGTTCATTATTATTACTGTCATCATTATGATTTTGGTGGTAGTGATAATGGTGAAAAATAGTTGAAATACCATGGTTGCCATTACTGACGTCATATCTTTTCCAGAATGGGAGTCTCGTCCATGGTATAGCAAAGCCTGTGATTGGTTGATTGGTATTCACCAATCACCTGGAGAATCGCAACGTCAGCAAGAGCAACAATGTCGTCTGCTTAAGATAACGTCACTGAAACAATCACGTGCTGCAAAAATCGGTCTTAATATTGGGCTGGTTTTTATTTTGTCTCTAGGTGTCGCATTGTATTGTTTTTGGTCCTACTGGCAATATGTTCCGTAAATTACGTGACAAATAACCCCACCCTCCACCCACGTGCGCGCGCACAAACACACACACACACATTAGACCACATGTATGTAAGCTGTAAATCGTAAATCACTCAAAAATGTCAAAGCCACTCAACTGCAATAATTATCTTTCGTCATAAAAAGGCCTATTTTGATTATGTTGAGATTATTCCCTTTAATTATCATAAAAATCCATAGATCTTTATTGCATAAATGCACAATGGTATCACACCCCACCCCTCCCCCAATCTCTTAACATCTCATTAGATTGATAGATCTCGCAGGTTCTCTTAGCCAACTCAATTTGGAATTTGGATTTGCAACACGGCGGTGACGTGGGTCTCTGACGACAGTTCAGTGACAGGTTTATTACCCTATGAAAAAGTTACACGTAATATATTCAAGTCAGATCGTACCGAGATGTGTTGCTACGTTTCTGAAAGAAGCACTTGCCTTAACTGATAACCGTGAGATAAAACCAGTAGCTGGAGACCTAGTAAATTTTCAATTAGACGTACTCTAGCTATTGCATCAAATTAATAAAACGCTTACAGGCTCTCTTGATAAACCTAAGTTTCAGCCGTACTGCTGAAAACTCTAAAATCAAAATATTTTTAGTCAAAATGGCGAAAATTTACATCTTGTCATGGCATTTTCCTTTCACAAAAGTATTTCTTTTTTTACATTTCATGAACGTTATCCAAATATCATAGTAGCAGAGGGGCAGATCCAGGATTATTTGAAGGGGGGAGGGGGTCCACAGATGCTAAGCTGACCCCTCCTCCTGTAGTATAAAGCTTATGTAACGTACACAAGCAACAAATGACATTACTTCTTCAATACTAACCAAGAAAATATAGCATGAGGCTTACGTTATGTACTGAAGCTGCAAATTATATTACTTCTTAAATACTTATACTGATTTTTCAAAAAAAAAAAAAAAAAAAAAAAAAAACAGAAGAAAGTCGCCTTTGTGAATTACATGTAATGATTTAATAATTACACATGAACAGAATGATATGAACATAATATAAATGTAAATGTCACTGTTATCAAGTGAAATCACCAAGTTATTCCATTACCACTTCAAGCATTGCACCCTGGCTAGGATGGAGCATTTCAAATCTCTATTTCTTCAGCCAAGCTCTCAAAATTCTTAACTAAATTGTCATCCAATCTATTTATCTAATCACAGTTTATTGCACCCAGAGTTTCAGAATATTGATGGTGTTTCTGTTCCATACAGGATACGCCTTTTATCATTATTCCAGCATGTAGTGATAAAGTAATATAGAAATATGCTTAACTCAGGGTCAAATATGTCTGCATCTCAAATATTGCTTATTCCAGTCCTTTCTGCTTGCTCAATAGCGGATTGTAAATTTTGCTCAAAGAGTTCACACCTAAAAAGAAAAAGTGGTACACTGTATATGAATTGTCAATAGAAACTAGTCTAATATAATATTTTTATATTATATATCATATTCTGATATTATGCAGAAAAGGAAGAGTAAATAGAAGTGAAAAAACAATCCAGTATGTATAGTATTGTGCTTTCCATTATTTTTTAATTTGAAACCTACATGTCAAAGGTTGGAAACAATTTAATGTTTCTAAAGAAAAAAAAACATCCTTTCTAAAGTTACACATGAATTGAGCTGAATTTTTAGAAACTGAAGAGACTGATGGATAAGGTGCAGTTTTAAAGCTTTGTTTTGCCTGATAGAGTGATCACTCTTTGGCATGTCAGCTTTATTTGAGTTATGTGAGATACGGATAGCAGTGACTTATATGTGCTACAAGGAATCTACACTTGCTTCGTTTGTAACTTTAATGAACTTAATTGAACCAATTATAATAAATGCACTCAGAAAATATTTTGCATTATCAATTTCATTAATGGACAATAACTTTTTATATACAGCAGTAAATATGCTATGTAGTGTAAAATTTTCAAGAATTTCCACTTTGATTTTGAAATAAAAGGGGCCATATAGCAAATTCTCTTTATGTTTAATTTCTAGTACAATATACATCTACATTGTGATATATCAAAAACCTGTGAATGATATTAAACATTTGATGTTTTCTTTATCCTAAGTAAAAATAATATTATGACAATAGTAATACTTAAGTAGAATCAAATTTGTAATTTACCTTTTTGATTTTTATAATAAGTTTTTAAGTGTTAGTTTCAAGTGTCCTACCTTATTGGCATATCTATGGAATAAAAAGGATTTTTCAGAGCAAAATCAGAGTAGACTTCATATAGTTTCTTCAACAGACCATCCACTGCCCCTTGTCGTAAATCTGTCAGAACTATAAATTTTATGCCTGAAAATATTGACAGAATAATCTATGAGCAGTTTGATGAAATGATAAAACATATATTAGTCGCTGTCAATTGCAGACATCATTTAAGAGATGACTTTTTTTGTTTTGCATTTTAAAGTACAGAATCTTTTATTCACAGTGTCCATATATAAATTGCTAAAAAAGTTAAATTTGCAAATACAGCACATTATATTTTGAATTATGTATTTTTCTGAAACAGAATCATGCTACTTATAACTGAATGCTTCGGAAAAAAGCTCCATGTTACTTTTTCTTTAAAAGTGTTTTTAAATAGTTCACGGAGTACAACATTGTACCTGTCATAGTCTGAAAGCAGTGTAATTTAAAGACATCAGTTTCTAAGACTTCTATTCCTGAAGAGTGGGGTTCGGGTGACAGCTGGGATCCGATGGCAAACAACCTGAAAGACAGTTTTCAGGCAAACTTGCTTAATGCATCAAAATAAGCATATTTTGTAAACTTCATATTTAAATTCCAAAAAATGTTACAGCAGATTAAATACTCTACGAATTGAAATGATTTTCACACAGACCTTTCACTTATATGTAGAATATTTGTGTACAATAATTCATAAGCTACCCTGGGAACAACTTACGAGTGAAACATGCTGGCCAGCATTATCTTTTCATTCACTGTTAACTTTGGTCGGCCAAACTTTATAGCAATGGGATAATTGTCCTCATCTGCAATTGTTTCCAGGATATCTCTTCCATCTTCTAACTGACGACCTGATGCACTCAAACCATTAATTCCTAACACAGTGTGGCCCACTGAAAAAAGAATTCATATTTAGAAAATCTGAGACTGAGGACATACATGTTACTGTACATAAATGCCAGGCAGCAGTAGAGTCAACCAGCATTCATGGCCATTCAAAATTTAACCACTCAAAGATTTTGGCTTCTTTCTTATGAAAACAAAGATAAATAAGTAAGTAAATTGTACCAAACTAATTCATTTGAATACATTGATCAAAGCCACCACAAAACAAAATTAAGATAAATATTGAAAATTGGGAGGGGGGGGTGCAAAAGTACCATGCAGTTATATACAAAGACTATGGTGTAAAAATACCCCTTTCTATTCAGCATTGGGTCTTGTTATTAGATTGACCAACTTTGTTTTAGAACTCTAAAGCTGTGTACAGAATAGAAGTTATCACACTAGCAGGAATGATCTATCTCAGCGGGTATTCTGGCTTAAGCACAACCATGCAATGTAATCAGCTCAATTGTCTGACACCCCCCCCCCCCCCATTACCTAAAGTACTTGGGTAAAGGCAGGATAACTTTGTGGTCCATGATGCCGTTCATGTTGCAAGGGGGTGTGCCAGACTCAGATAGATCGATCCTACTAGTATGATAACATCTATTGTGAACACAGCCTAAGTTCTGCACCATGTGCTGAAACGTGTCTCATCAGCTTTTGTACCTTTCACTCCATCTCTTTGACCGAAGGCCACCACGACTTTCTCATCTAACAGTTTTAGCACCAGCTCTAAGGGATAGCTGAATGTTTTCTCTACTTCTATCTTAGGCATATTGTGGTCATACTGGTAGATCAGACCACCGGCACGATTTACTACGAATACAGAGTGAATCGTCATAGTTGAGGCTTCGATCAGTGTCAATTGTGACTTGAAGTCAAATCGGGTTAAATCACTTTTGTCTCCTTGAAGATAACTTCCGCTCTTCTGCTAGCTTGCACAGTGCAAGTCCTCTATAACAATTCAGATATGCTGTTTTTGTTAAGCAATACTGGTCCAAGAAAAACCATGTAGTCGATGAACACTATAATTTTATAAAGCATTTGTCATGTTCCAACACCTTCCCCTCCTCCATGTCAGCTCATTTACCGGTTGATCTCAAGATAAGCCCAATGACATTTATAAATTACTCTTAACGTACTTATGAGGCGTTATTATTTGACTGATGACTTTATGAAAATTAATATTAATGATAGAAAAAAACTGTGATTTGTTAAAACAAAACATTGTTCGCAAATGACAAGGAAAGCATTGATTTCTTTCAAAGTATCGGTTACGTTACACTCCCATATAGCCGGCAACTTCCGTTTTAAGTGAAAGTTTGTTAAGGAAGAGCCGAACTCACGTTTTATTTGTGTATGTTGTACTAATATTGTGATGGATGACGTCAAAGAAAGGACACTTTGGTGCGGGAACCTATCGGAAGAAGTAACAGAAGAACTTTTATATGAGTTATTTTTGCAAGTAAGTGCCATTAACTACATTGGTTTTAGATGGAAGATTGCCTCAATTTTGCTGCAGCATGCAAAGCATGTAAAGCCGAAAACTGAGGCAGACTTATATGTCTATAATCAGATTGATGGATGTTTGGATATGGTAGAGCCAGTCAATCAGGTTATATCAAGGTAATTGACCTTTCCAAAACATATCTAAATCGCCAGGAAAAAACTTTTGGTTATTTCCCAATTGTTAAGGCAATAACTAAAGTAAGTCTTACCAGAAAAATAAATAGATGTATAAAGTTAGCATCTGCTTTTTTTTAAAAAGAATTAAGGTTATTTTTTATTTATTTTATAATTCAATAAAAAACATGTAATTAATCAGGTTAAAATCTCAAAATCCTTTTCTCTTATATCAAGGCTGGCCCATTGGAAAAAGTCCACATAGCAAAAGACAAAGATGGTCGTAGGAAAAACTATTCATTTATACAATTCAAGCATGAAGAGTCAGTGCCATACACCATAAAACTCATGGCTGGAACAAAACTTTTTGGCAGACCTCTTAATCTGCAGGCCAGGACTGGGGCTTCTCATGGAAATGTCACAGCAACACCACTTGGTGGTCAGATGCAAAACTACAATAATTATAACCTTGGACCCCCACAAAATAGAGGGTATAATCCAAATATGAATATGGACATGCAAGGACAACAACATATGATGGGGAATATGATGCAGCAAAATTGGCCTAATATGCAACAGCAACAACAGCAAGGATTGTTGGGACATGTTCCTGGACGAAACACGCCAAACCAAAGTCCACAGGCCATAGGACAACCATGGTTTGATCAACAACAACCTGGTAATCCTAATTTCCAAATGGACCAGCCCCTGGATCCCATACAGCTAGAGCTAAAGAGGCAGAGGCTAATGCAGCAAATGGGGATGGCAACTCAGCTGCATCAGCAGTATCAGCAACAGCGTCAGCAGTATCAGCAACAGCATCAGCAACATCAGGCTGGGAGACACGGAGGACATCATCAACAACATCAGCAACGTCATCATCAGCATCATCATCATCATCGGCATGGCAGTAGAGGGAGCCCACAGAGGCCACCACGGCAGAGTGGAAATTACAGGCAGAACTTTCAGTAGCCACTTGATTATATAATTTATTTTTTAATTGATGTGGAGATACTGTGATGTTTAAATACAAAGCGATGCTGATTTATTGATTATAATGAGAAACAACTTAAAGTTTATTTCTTGCATTTTAGTATTTTTTCTGTCTTCGGCTTTGTTAAGTCATATTTTCATTTGCATATATAATTAAAAAGGCATTACTGTACGTGATACATGTAATATTGGACAAGTCGCCATATCTCAATTCTAAGGTTGAGGTGGTGGAGATATACTTGTGTTTGTTCAATTTTTTATATTTTGTTTTAAACTATGACGACAACTACTGTTTGAAGTAAATCCATAGTCACGTTTATAGGTCGCAATTTTAATGAAGAATGAATTACAAGTTTTTATGGTTCTGAATCCTTTTTTTCCCCGTAAAGAATAATAAAGAGATTATCTTAGTAGATTTTGTGTCACAGTGAACGCTACCTGTTGTCAGGCTACCTGCTGTGTGGATAGGGTATCCGAAAGTTCCTGTTTTTTCACTCGAGCTTGTTATCAAGAACTCTAGTTAACCTCATTTCAGTCCAGCAACCTGTTCAAAAATAACATCAAAAAGAATTTGGAACCCTATTTGACACAAAAAAAATCGAAAAACCCCTTGGCACAAAGTATCCAATGTACTATTTACTATAACGTACCTAAGTATAGACCCATTGAGGCAGGTTAGAGTTTCAAGCCTTTTCGGTGCAGAGGTACGACCTGGGCGAGCAAGGATTTTTTTTTTTTATTTATTTATTTATTTATTTATTTATTTATTTATTTATTTATTTATTTTTATTTATTTATTTTTTTTTTTTTTTTGTAAAATTAGTCATAGCCATTGTTCATCCACCAAGTTGAGATTAACCAATTTACTTCCATGTGGAAAATAACATGGCGTTCAGGTACAACCAACACTGGGCTTGTTGGAAAGTTAGTCATTATCTCAGTGATCCAGTTTTGTCTCAACTGTAATATTTATTCCATGCTACAATGCTGCTTAGTTACATATATGCTGCATGCTAAAATAGCGCATTTTTTCTGATTCTAAANTTTTTTTTTTTTTTTTTTTTTTTTATTTATTATTATTTTTTTTTTTTTGTAAAATTATGAAATCTTTTACCCCACCTCACCTCACGATGAAAGGCTCAATGGGCAAATCATTGGCATTGGCCCGTGAAACAGATTTTGAATTTGCTTTGGAAGTAGTCTTATCGTAACACTAAATAATTACCGTCAGTTGCATTTGCCGACCCAGCGAGCACGTGTCACTCCCTTACCTCCTTGGGTTCCCATTCTTCCTTCGACCTCACCAAATATGTACAGTATGACGAATGGAAAAAATGCAATTTTTGCACGTCTTAACGGAATTGGAATCTCGTTTTAAATTTGAATTGAAACGTCTTTTGACAGAGATCTATGGTTGCCAAAGATTAACAGTCTTTTGAATGTGTACACTTTCGAACTTAGAACGCCGGTTTAGCCGTATTTACGGGTAGATTATAACTTTGTTTTAACCATATCTGTATACATTTGAAAAGATTCACAGATATTCATTGTGCTGCATTCTTTGAAGTTCAACTTAAAAGTAATTCGGGTTGCTTGAAATACCAATGAGTTTCAGGAACCGACTACAAGCAAACCACCTGTTACCAACTTTTTTCCTAACACGTTTTTGTACTGTTAATTTGCTTTCTTGTACTCATTTTCCGATAGTGTGATTTAAGGTCACAATTAGATATAAGCTGCATGTAGGTAATGCTTAGCGGTCAGCAGAAATGAGAAAGCCACAAGACACGCGGCTTGACTTAACAAAAAACAGCTCCGCTATGTAAAACCTGGCAGTAGTACCGCGTGGTATATGTGATTAGTAACTGGCGTCACTATTTTACAGTAACTCCATGTATAACGGATAGAGAAAAACCACGGTTTGCAAATGTCTTTTACCGCGGTAACACGCCATGAAAACTCAACTAGTGAATCTCCATTTACTGTCGGAACTGTATGAGGGATGCAATGTACGTCAATGGTACGCATGCTAGTCGCAAGCTCACAAACTTTGAGGGTATGCCAATTACGTAACACTAAATTCCAGGAACCTTGTTTAAGTTAACGGAGCCCGCCCCTCAAGGCAACTGCTTTGAAAATTGGTCGATATAATAGACACTTAACTGGCAACGTCAAAAATCCTTGTTGGCCAGTTAGATACCAAAACAATCCTGCCCACCAATCCTTCGGGCGCTGACCGAAAGAGGAAGTTTAGTTCCCCACAAATAGTGGGTTGATTCTACCGACTTCTGTTGCAACACTTTCCAAGCTTATTTTTGTATATTTGAGGGGTGTTCAGTGGACATAATTTTTCAACGGTAGTTGTAAATTCTTTTTATTTGGCAGTGAAAATGATAGAACGATTTGAGTATCCGTACACGGCAAACAAACAACCACTTTTATATTGAAGTGCACGCTCTCCGGGTGGACGTCCTTTTGCAGTTTAAAAAGCAATGGTTATGTAAGAGGGATTGTCTTCAGACTGAAAAAAAAGAAAATAAAAGGATGTGTATAGCTCAGTAAAGGGGGATGGATTACTTTCCCAAGAATAAGAATTTAAACAATTCATCAGATCAACCCCCTCAGGTTGTATCTCGATTCAAATAAGAAGTTGAAGAGTCTCTACAACTTCTTGACTCAAAAGATATTAACCCGAATCGCAGAAACAGCTCTAGTTCTATAGGTGTGTTTTCAACTATCTCTGAAACTCGGCTGCATATGCTAGTTACTATTTCGATAGTGCTGGGGACGCTATTATGAACCGATTTGTACATGCTGTTGGTTAAATACACACACACACATTAGACCAGTTTCATTGTCTCCATTAAGCTCTGAAACTCAAGGTATATCCCTTAGAACACATTAGCAAAGCAACGGAAACAACTCCTGTGCTGTATACGACCTACTAGACGAACATGTTACAACAGCCATTACAGGGAAATGTTCCCAGTGGGTTCTGAACCTCAGGGTGTGTGAGGGATCATTACTAGTTCAACGTATTCCTCTCCCCAGGGTACCAATCAAAAAAGTCAATCTAATAATCTTAACACGGAAACAACCCTGACAGCAGCTGTTGCAACGTGTGCCACTGGGGACCGTCAACAAAATTAAAACAGACGTGATTCACCTATACAACAATTGAGGATTTAACTTTATTTTTTAAAACAACAATTGCGGTCTGTAAATATCTCATGAACAAATTGCGTAACAAGCGAGGCAGACGGGGTTATCTGTGTCTCAGAAATGAACCCTGGACAATTCTTCCTTGGCTTAAACTTTGAAACAAGAGTTGGGCCAAACTTGCAATGAGCGCCGAACTAGGTATTTTACTTTTACTCTCTATGCTTGGTGCAAAAACTGAGGCGCATTATCTTTGTACAAATCTGACATCTTGTCTCTCGGATCTACATGCGCGCGTGCATCTACATGTGCGGAGTGGAAGATGACCCCCCCCCCCCCCTTTTTTATAAACAGAAGAATTGGCTCAACTCGCTTCCCATACTAAAAGGGGCTTTGTATGAGGCTGCATGATCTGAGGTCTTCAGTATTGTGGCAAAGTACATAACAACATTTTATTAACTTACTGATATATACATTTGTCTTGAAAAAATAAATAGACCGGGCTGTAATGTTTCCTTATCTTTGACTACTGTGGTTGACCCCCCCCCCCCCAAACCCACCCACCCACCACTCCTGTAGTCAAATCTATATAAATATAATGACCAATGCATGTGCTTGGCCTGATGCTCACAATTGTAGCAACCCTTTCTGTGCACCCAGACAAACCAGCAAGTTATCCAGGTCTCTTTTTTTCAATTTACAAAAGTCGATGAATCACGACTTCGTATTGAACTTCTCTAGGGGATGATTCAGCTCCAACCGGCCTCCCTCTTCCTGATTTGTTCTTTTCCCAAATTTCATTTAAGCTAACACGCATTACCTTAATGAAAGTAATGGGGAAGAACAATAGGAGAAAGCGCACAACGGCCTAAACCCAGTCTATTCCTTGTTTGAATATCCTGACATTTCACTTATTTAATTCCAGGAATCTCTTTGGGTTTTTACTTTAAGTGTTAACACCCGCCCTCGCTTGAAGCTAAGCGTTTGGTAAGGTTTGGTATCTCTGCGGTTGGGCTCTCGTGTTAACCGGAAACCTTGTTTAAGATTTTGGGTTATTAAAGAAGACTCCCGACAAAACATGAAAGGAGTACAAGAAGGATGCAGCACGTACGAGTCCAAAATATTTTTTCTTTCACATTTATTCGGTAAATTTTGTGTTTGAATGCACGTGTAAGTAAAGGTGCACTTCGTTTGTAGGTTTTAGAATATTGGGTCCAACTCATTTATTATATATTTACTGTAAATGAATATGATAAATGTCTTTCTTGGGTTAAGCTTTTACCATACCTTTCTTCACAAGAATCGTTTTAATTCCCTACAAGATAGCCACATACACTAAACATTCCTATGGCAGTTATATTAAATTACATTAGACCTTTTTTCGTTTGGCAGGTTGTCATGAAATTAAGTTTCAGCACGCCTGGCATTCTATTACCGACCCATAAGGGAATCCAAGCACATTGAGCTCCACGTGCCATGCTTCCCATGTCTCAAAAATGTGAAGAAAAATGTGAAGCCATGGGAGATGGAAAGTGGCTCGAAGGTAGTGTTGTTGCAACAGCTGTCACGCGGCCTCGTTAAGATGGCATGGCGCACATTTGTCGCTTTACATAACATATTCAGGGCTTATTCTGGTGTGCACTGGTATATTCTGGCTATTCTGAAAAATATTTTTGTACGAAGGGATACTTTGCCAATTAAAACAGTGAAGTTAATCATTCCTAATTAATAGATGTGTAAATAGACATTAAGCAGGGCCTCGTGTAGAGGGGAGCTAGCAAAAAGAGCCTGAAATTGTGAATTAATGCCGAACAATATCGGTATGGCAAAAGCCAATTTAATTTTACCTAAATTTGTTCAATGACTTATGATAAAACAACGCCCTGGTCATGGACTGCAATACAACGAAAATGTACTCCACTGAGAAAAAAGCATGCATAGATTTGTTTAAAACTCGTGCATGAAACCCTTACACCCGACCATTTCAATTCAGTTGTGACACCTATTTCACAAGAAAAAAATTGAAAGAAGATATCCAATTAATTTAAGTCAACGTGGGAGTTTTTTCACTTAGGACACGAACAGGAGTCAACCCAGTACAGGATTAAAGCATACCGAGGCTAGTTGCCAAGTATCTCTATTGGAACTTAACAGCGTGCATATGCCCATCTATATACGGTGTTGATTTTGGACCAAAAAGACATGAAGTGAGTCACTGTCGTTTGTGAAGAAAGATGTCAGGTCTTGACCTAACTCCCATCCCGAAATTTAGTATAATGGAGTATCAAGGAGTGTTTCTGGATTACTGGTGGTAATCTTGAATTTTGTCCACAAGACCAAATGTTTGTATTACCCGTGGTAATCATGAATTTTGTCCACAAGACTAAATGTTTGTATTATCGAAAGAAACAAAAAAAGAACACCACCATTAAGTTAAAATGTTGAGCCCCGTAATTTGTTTACTTAAGAATTCAACTTTTTATTTATTTATTTTTGTATTTTTTCTAGTCGTGATTTTAATTGTAAAATATTAGTTCAAGAGGTACATTTTACAACCTAAAGAGAATTATGGATCTTATTATTTCATCTGTAGAAGTACTGTACACGCGATTCTCAGTACGGGTCTATTGTTTGCGTGTTTTTCTTGTATTCTTTCTCTCTTTTTTAACACGTGCATTTTGATATGGTAAATAATTCGTATTTCCAGATAAAGTTCAAACTTTTTCGACCTGCAGGCACGCTGTTTTCTTTTTTTCATTTTTGGCACACATCACCATGCCACCATCCTTGACACTCAAGTTCCATATTTTTTTCACAAATTTCCGAAATGTTTTCCTTAATTAGTCCATGAAATAACCCCAACCACGCGAAGAACCCACGCACTGTTGTTCAGAGGCCTATATTTCCCGGCGTAAACATGATGTTGTTCCTGATATGCCCGGCACCCAGAAGCTGCCACTGCCATTCGTGCCATGTTTACGACCGCGATTAAAATCAATGTGACCGAGGATTCGACGACCCGCAAACTGTGTCACTAAGCCGAAGCGCAATTGCCAGTGGATGTGATACAACTTGCCCTGGCAGCAAGTAAAAAAGTGGAAATGAACTGTACTTCACAACCCAAAGAAGAAAGAGAGAGAGAGAGAAAGAGAGGCGGGAGCGGTGCGTGTGTGAGTGCGTGTCAATGCATTTATTTCAGGAAGCACACACACATTGTATGTCAGTATAGGAGACAGACTTTGCCTGATGTGTGTGTGCGCGCGTGCGTGTACATGTGCTCGAGTGTTGCTTTCATATCTTATGAAGTTACATATACAACGAAGAACACGAGTAAATCGGAACTAGGATCCAACATCCTGATGTTGGATCCTAAATCGGGAGGAAGGTAGATAACGCAGCTCAAAAATCTGTCCAGACAGGACTGAAATTCTGTCTCGTCTTCACTCATAAGGGGCCTTAAGTGAAATAAAATCCGAGTGAGTAAGTGAGATAGAAACTGGACCATCAGAATACCTGATTAATTCCCTATGATTGAATGGTCTAAGGCACAGCAGAGGTTTTTGTAATGCCGGTTTCTTCTCAGAGATGGTCGGTTGTCCCTTGTCCAGTAAGATAATCTTGTCTGAACATCGATTGGCCTTCAGTCGAAGACCCATGAGAACAATTGGTGAATGATTCATTAATATACAATCCGGTTTAAAACTGCTTTCGGATTACCAAAACATTCAGCGAACCTCGTCTTTTTGCCCGTTTCTTGCCAACAAATATTTGATTTTGCTTGAAGGCATCAACAATTGTCACTTCCTTACCAACCACCTACCTTAGGCCTCAAAACATTTTAAGGATGATTACGTTACGGCTACTACTTTGATAAAAAAATATGAAGGCCTGGTTAGTGGACGAAATATTAGGCTTTTTGTCATCTTGCGCCCTGTGCTTAGGGGCAAAACTGTCTTTTCTAAGAGTAATATACATAGGCATTAAGTGTGATAGACTCATAAACCATAAAGTCCATGTTTTCCTATTTGTATCTGGTCTGAACACACGCAAACATTGCCAAGTGGTCTACGGTCAAAGATCCAGGAAAACAATACAAGAAAAAACTCATCAAAAGAGGGAGAATAATCGACCGTATGATCCAATCGTGGTAAAGGCTTTACTTCGCTATTAAAGCAATGATCGTACCTTCATTTTTTGCTGTCTTTTGCCATATGTCTCGAAAGGCATACAGTTAAATTGCACTTCACCGAGTTTATAAGACACTTCGTGGGATTGGAAAAAGCTAGTAGGACGAAAAAATTCTCTTTAAGTGCTCAAATAATTCCCAGTACTTACGAACTGCTGTAAATATACTTAACGTCATTTTTCCTTTGGAAAGTATTCTTTCATAAATTGTAAGCGTAACAGTCGATTTTTCGTAAAAAGGTTTTCACGAGATATTTGAGAAAAAATGAGAAAAATATGACAAGTCTGATTAAGTTTCGCTTTAAGCGAGCAAACAGAAAACCTCAAAACGTTAGGAGCTTTTGGATGCGCTTCTTCTGATTAGCTTCGATAAACAAATAAGAGAGAGATAGAAAGAAAAGGGAAAGAAAAAGCAACAGAATTAGATCAAACCGTACTTAACTTCATTGCTGTATTGAGAAATACATCGTACAGAACCAACAAAATCAGTTAGAGGAACAAATAAGTGTTCTAATGGAAACTCCTACGTTTATCACGCTGATTTCATGTTTATGTAATTTGGGTGATTGGAAGCAGCTTGTGTTGTACAATTGACGTATTTGTTAATCGTAAAAAAACTCGATTTAAACCCTTGACCTAAGCTTATAGTTGGTCCTTGGTGTCACTTAAAACAAATAAACATGTTTATGTTGGTTGTGTACAATAATTAAGTCCAGTTTATTCCATTAGCAGTCACAAACCTAAGTGAATGACGTCAAAATACCGTCATGTTTGTTACGTTTTCGATTTGAAGATGGCTGATTTTAGAATGACTCAGCGTTTTAATGAAAGGGAGTGGTGGCAGGTAATTAAAAGGAGTGGTTAGGATGACGTGTCGTATTTTTGATTGTTTTCTATTCTGAAACATATTCTTCCATCTTATCGCCCTCTAAATAAGATACTTTGTCTATCACGTTGGCCATATATATGAAAGGATAGGAAAATGGTAGGTGTAAATGCTCTCCGGGACCTCTCCACTCTCTACACATTCAGTAGAAGTGATTGACGGCCAAGTTCTCTGCAGTGGTGCCCCCAAATCTAATTTCCCCTCACCCTACGACAGTGAAAACAACCACGTTATCCAACCGGCCTCTCTCGCAAAGAAAGATAAATTGAAACAACGCAAAGTGGTAACCCGACACTCACCAGGAACGCTTAAAAAGCCAACGAGCCAAACCAAGGGCAGATTTGCATTCGCTGGAACGTTCATAGGCACTTAAACTGCTCTAGGTGAATCTTGTTCTGGTGTCGTTGCTTCCTGATTCTGATATTCGGTGAGATTTTGTTTCAAAGACTTTAGGACTATCAAACAAAGTTCTTACAGAGAGGAAAAGCGGGCTATTTAAGAGGAGGGCGTTGAGCGTTCCAGAAAAAAGATTGATACATTCCACAATTTTACAGGTAAGATAACTTTCGTGCCACCCTTGGAATAATTCATGATAACCACCATGAGTGACTATCTTAATGATAATATACGTCTTGGTATCTATACTGTCAGAAAACATTTTCACTTAGAAAACTAATCTATCTTCATGGATTTTTTCCAAAATGTTTCAAATTTGGTCATCACTTGAATGTCTTGCCTAAAAAGCCTTTTGTGAAATGCAGTTCAAACCTTCGTTTTAAACTAACAGATACCAGTAATTTCAGGAAGGTACAATTAATGAAATGAATAATGAATGCGTTCTTGCGTCCTGCGACAGGTTTAACTCATGTTACAGACAATCGTAATAAAAAAAGTATAACTTAAAACTTTAGTATTGCAAACGGCAGCATGCATGGAAGAATGATAACGAAAAATAAACGACAAATTATAGGTGAATGCGTGTGCGTGTGTGTGAGTATGCGTGTGTGTCAAAACAAAAAAAAACTACATAGGAACGGAAACAGAGCGCACTGATCTATAATGGGTGGTTGAGAGGTAGAAAATTAAAGTTGAAGAGTGTTCCTTTTCTGACAAGTGATACTAGTGTCTGTAATTCAATATTTGCGGGAACAGGATGGTTCACATTAGTAATGAAGAGGCCTGTTATGTCATATACATAGCAGACAGCACTAAGCCAATGTTTTTTCTTCTGTCTATACCGCAGAACTGTTGAATAAGACAATTAGAAAATCCACATACCGATCTCCAGGGGGCGACATAGGTCTGGTACATCTCGGCTCCCTAGGGGGCAGCACGATTCGTTTCAAGTCAGTCTGTATGGTGTGCCTAGTCGTTCTTTTGTATTTTTTGTCAGGTTGGAAGTTCACTTTTGGCGGCTGTAATTAATTGGGACTTCATATGTCACTATGCTATAACGCACTTGATGAGCTTCCCCCTTCCCCCGGAGAAAACACAATTTGGCAACCTTAAGAAAATTGATTTGAAGTTACACTGCACCAGCTACCTGTTTGTGTTCCCTGTGCTCAGGCGTATGTTTCTTATGTTTAAAGCTATTTTGCGTTTACAGGGTTTAGCTGATGTTAAAAGCACATGTTAGCATGTGCATTTATCCTTCACACCAAAGGCTATGGAGACACAACGTATTTCATGGTCAGTGTTTGCGTGAAAATTGAGAATATTTCGATTTTAATTAGTACCAACGTACAGACGATTTGATACTTTTCTCGTTCCATTTTCACAGCAGTACCTAAAACCTCTACTTAATTAATTGTATCCTTTCGCTCTTACACTAAGAAGATCGTGTATCGCATTTGCGGGATGGTTGTTACTGAAGCAACGGGACATGAAACTAAGACGGTAGATCATACAAAACCTTCTGTGCCCAGAGTACCTATAAAAACAGTCCCTAATTACCGCCTAGCGGTCTTCCGATGGCTGAGCATCTAAGTTCTGTTTCTAGATCCCCAAACAGCGTTTTTTTAAACCGTTTCCCCGAGGATAAAAACAATTCCGTTTCAGAGATTTACAGTTTGCTGCGGGATATATGCTGGCATTTGGCTTATGGTGAATATAATGTGTGTATTTTTGTTTAATAAGCGGGTAAAGAACAATAAGATTATTTCGTTCTGTATATTGAAAATCTACATAATTATTTTCCTTTAAAGCACACAATATTTATTAAAATTTGTTGATTTCTATTCTATTCTAGATCTAGTCTTAATTATGTGGCAAATCTTGAATAATAATATCGCAGGAAACGTTTGTGAAACAATAATCAAAAGCAAGCGACAAGTTCCAATGTGTAGTTATATCAAGCCTGCATATAAACCCCTTGCAGTTGGTATTTAACAGACCTTAAAAACTTTACAGTAGCTAAATCAGATCAGACTGTATTGGCGGGAGTAGTATTATTGTAGCCTCCTCGGGCGACAGACTACCAATTGCCACAGGTGAGATGGATTTGACCAATCAAGACATTTTACTAGCAAACGTCTGTTAAAAATGCGACCGTGCGCTAGTACTTTATGGAAATTTGGCATTTCACGTGAACGGTGTATTTTTTTACATTTAACCAACTGGAACTTTTATTTGCATTGGCCTATATGCATGTTGGCACTTCGTGTCAATTATTGCATCTATTGTTATCACAGACATAAACTTTCATAGTCTTTAATGAAAACATCCAAAAAGTCAAATACATCGTTTAACGCGCTGTAACAGTTAACATTCAAAATAACGGGCGTTGGTTGTTTTGATACCCCTGCACGCAAAGAATGTATTTTGTGTTTTGCGTTTAAGGGCTTTTGTAAAGGAAATGTGTAAAATGTATCGGGGCCTGGCAACAGTGCACGTCCATCATAGAACTCTTAGACATACGTCTGTTCTTTTAAAGTACTAATTTCTCGCGGCTATTTTTCTATAAACGGATCAAAGCAACGTGGTTCGTATTCAGTTTTGGAGGCCGTTGGGGTTTCTTAAGGGTAATGTACTCTTTTAAAGTAACCTCCCAGACAGCCGCTCTCTTCAGTTTAACAAAATTTTCCCAGACGGTTATGGTTTTCAAAGTGTCATATCATTTCAAGTGACAGACAGAACAGCAGTATTGCCCAAATATTCCTTATCACAAGTTATAGTATTGTTAAAAAAATGTAAGAACATGCCACAGATTTTTCGTGTTACAATTTGGTAGGAAAATGCAAGACGCTCGGACGTTTGAAACATGCGTTCGCCAAAGCTCACTGTTGGATCTAGGATTAAAATCAATCAAACGGGAGAAGGGCAAAAATGGAAAGCATATCTACACGCAAACGAAAAAGAAACCGGCCTTTTACCCCCACCGTCCACCGGTCCCCTTATACCTTAAACTATAAATAGACATGCCTTGACTATTTTGTGCAAACCCCAAACAGCTGGACAGTTGCTGGCAATAAACTGCCCCGCTGACTACATTAAAACGCAAATTGAATCTTGAAGTAATGACCACGGCAGCGCGTGGTGGCGAGGATTCAATTTGTGCGCCATTCAGAAGGCGTGGAGCGCGAGAGTTTGCAGGGGAGCTCCCGCTAATTGGGCTTGTATGTCGGCAGAGAATTCAGAACACCCTTTGACTTAGGGCCGATATAAAAATAGGCTGTAGATGTTGATTTCCGAGTAAATCTAAAGATAAATATTGCACCGATCGACAGGGCTGTGTTTAAGATTATTCTCCCTATCCAACTTTGTCCAATTTATTAGATTTGTGTTTCATGAATAAAGCTGTTATATATAACGAGATAGAAGAGGAATTGCCGGAGTATATTTCAACCATTCTGAAATGTAAAATGAGGGTTAGTGCGAAAGAACTTGTAAGCCAACAACACACTAGGCCTATTGTACTCAATCTTGAATATCGCCCCTTTTTAAATGCGTTGTTCTTTTGTAGCTTTATAATAAGCACTACTTCGCATTTTAAAAACGATGGTCTTGACAGCCTCTTCGAAATCATTTTTATCAAACATCTCTTAATTAACGCGATTAATTTCGCATCTTCCAGATTCACCATGGACCTGAATCATCTGTTGCCAGTATTCCTGGTCGCCATACTCTCCTCTCTGTTCTGCCTGTCATTTTGTGAGGATGAATTAGACGAACGTGGAGATGAGCGCACTCTGGAAGAGAAAAAACGAATTATTCCCTACACACTAAGAGGTATGTGGAGACATGCGCACACGTGCTTGTACATGTAAGCACATATTCAGAAATGACCAACTGAAAATTTCCGGGCTGTCGCACAACGTTTTCGCTAACATTATAACAAAAAATCATAAACCAACGAGCAGACCAACAGACTCGTAAGTAATAACAGGGTTGTGAGCATATAAATGTATGCATTCTGAAATATAATTGAAGGGAGAATCGTCTCTGGATGTTTATTCAATTTATTCTTTTTTTCGTCTCGTTTCCAGGTATGTCTATTTCCCGTGAAGCGTACTCGTGGCTTACTGCGGCGTACGGGGCGGGCGCGATGAAGGAGGCAGGTGTTAAGCCCGCTAAGAAGAGATGGTATGCCAAGAGACACAAAGGTGAGGCAGGCACTCGATCGGCAAATATAATACAATAGACGAAGTCAATCTTAGTATGACATGTAGAGGGCAGACATTGGGTACGTGCGCGTGACTAATAATTGAGAACTGATAAAGTACACTATGCTTTAATACAGGCAAAGTGAAACCTAAATAAATACAATATTTTTCCGGGAAAACAGAGTATTAAATCATATATATAATGCTTCCAGTGAACTGCTGCATCGGGCGCTCTCGTCCTATGGTGAAAGATGCTCACTCCTGTCTTGACTTTGGTGGACGCTGCTGCTCCGATGATTCTGTCTACTATCCGGTCTATAGATACTACGGCAAAATAGGAATCGGTAAGTAACAACTATCACACTTTATCGGTAATGTCGTGTTACCTTGGTGATTTGATATTTGACATTCTGTACACACAGGAAAAAAGAAGGAAATTGAATATAGTCATGAACACGTAGACAATTAGGCCTATTTAGTTTAAATATGACATCTTATGTGAAATGAGGGAGGAATTTGATTTCCTACCAGGTCCATTCCGTTGTTGTGAGGCCCCTCCCCCCCCCCCCAAACCACACCCTACCAGTAGAAAAATCTCTTATCCACCATTGATATATTATGATTATGCACTGAAATTAATACTGAAGTTTCGATGCGTCAGTTATAGAGCTAACATGGAATCCTTACTTTTATATTTCTTCCTTTCTTCAAAGTTTCAAAAACATAATTCAGTGTGATTTATTGTGCAAATTTGGATAAAAAATTTTTTGATATTTTTTTAAGAATATATTAAAATATATTTGAACATAATTGTTTGATGTATCTAGCTCTGTGTTTCTTCGTTATCGTTAATGTGTTAGCATTTTCTTTATGACAGTTAACCCGTTCCCCATCAAGAAACATGCAGACACCAGCAGACCTTGCGGACAGTGCTTCACCGGATATTCCACGCGATGTGTCATCCGCTAGGTGGGGCTGCTAAACGACCTTATGCAGACGACAGAAAATCCTCAAAAGAGGGAGCCACAAGATGGAAGATGAGTGACATTGGGTTACTCGTTCACATATTTATTGACTACACAAATCAGTTCAGGTTTTCTGGTGCAATTTAGAATAACCAAAGCACCCGTAGACCTAACAAATCGACAGCGATCTCCTAGGTCTTTGTTGCTATGAAACTATTGTCAAAAAAAGGCGTGATTTTTTCCCGTTACTCTCATTAAAGGTGAGAGTGATAAATGTCGACCAAAGACGCATCATCTTGTGTGATCCGTACATTTTAATATTATTATATATTAATCAGCAACTGTAAATGGTTTATTTAGTTCTAAAGCTGTTTGGGACGCAGAGTTTGATCTTAAATATGTATATAAAATTACTGGCAACGTTTTGTTACGAAGTGCCAATCGAACTTATAATGGTGACGAATGACATGTATACACGTGGAATACACCTTACCATTAGTTCTTATGCTTTGCGCTAAAATATTGTCTGTATGAAAACTGATGAAGCGTTGTGTGCTATATGTAGCTACAAAATACTAATCTGTAAATATTGAAAATAAACATTTATTATTATTATTATTATTATTATTATTATTATTATTAAATCATTCAAAGGTATGTTTTGTCTCAACACCCGTCTGTTTTTTAGTCGGGCGCACCTGTGGAATAAACGGCCATATCCGACTCGTAGGGGGTAAAGCAGAAATAATCCTAGTAACTTCGCAGATGTATGGGTTGTTTAATACTTTTAAAGTGGTAATTTCGCGTCGTACTTAACATATTTAAACTGGATTAATTGAAATTTTAACGTACGAGATCACAACGATCAAAAGTCTTTTCTACTGGAACACTGGAAGCTGGCCTACTATCATGAAAAAAAAAACAATTGGTGTTTCAAAGAAAGTTACGGAAATGATATCAACATCTTTTGAAGTGCAATCATTTCAATGTAATCATGCTCTTAAAGTCATCGTACCGATGGGGAATTATATAGATGGATATATTTAGAATAATCATGAAAGAAAGATTGACAGATAAAAATGACTTTATGACTAGTAGAGGATGGTCTTAGTTACTGTATGTATACACGTGTCAGTTGATTGCATTTGCATCATGGCATCGCCTCACGTTGCCTGACTTCAGGGTTATGCACCACAGTAACTTCCTTGATTATCACCACATGTCTGATACCAGGGACCTGGGTCATTGCCCAAAATACACCCATCGTTTGTGTTGGGGGAACGGGAGGCCACTTTTGCAATGAGGAGCAGATGTTTTTCCTTTCAAGGGAGGACTGACGACCCATGTCTTCATCTGCTTCAGTCTTCGCTATAGGTCTATAGACATTGCGTCCTAATTTTTGTTGTTATACTAACATATAAAATAGACTAAACAATAACATTGCGTCTTATTCCAGCTCGAAATGGCGTTACTTGTATCTGTAAGGTGGTGGGATTTTGGGGTTACCTCCGCGACAAGAAGTAGTGCAGTTAGTTTTATTTTTAAAAATTGCACGTCGGTTCGGGGGAGGATCATAGTTTTGTTGAATAATCAACAATGATAGGGTTGAGATATTTTTTACGAAATAACATTCATTCAAAAATACACTGAAACCTTCAATGAAAGCACAAATTCGAAAATACCCAGTTTATCATGATGGCGAGTTGTTTTGCGGCGTTTGAGAACTGTTCAATTTTATATAAAGATAAACACAAATATACGTTTATTCTTTTAAAAAGCAATTAGAAATATTGGCATTTTTTCCTTTTTTTCCGCCTTACTATATGCATGATGTGAAAGAGACAAAATTTAGGGTTTCAGACCTAATGAGAAAAAGAGATATCAACAATTCTCTTTCCATTATGTAAAAAAACGTCTATGCGATTCGTGAGGGTTATGAGAGTTCAATAAGTTTGACAATTCCCCCAAAATAAAATTTAAAAAGACCAAAATATAATGTTATGTTGAAAAAGAGAGGACAGGGTGATTTTCTAAAGTAGCTTACATATGATTTCGAACCAACTTGGACAATTCACAAGTTTTCCCTGCTTTTCAATCAGTTTATGACGCAGTAAATAAAAAGAATATCAACCGTTCATACATGTACGAGATTCATAATTTCACAATAAATTCATTGCAACACATACATATTTTATATATTCCATCTTACCACCCAAGCATCGTTTATCGCCTTTGAACACAAGTCATTTTACTATATGTCCTTTAATGAGGTCACGATAGATTGACGGACTTTACTGCGGCGACCAGCAGGCCCTACATAGGATGACATATGCCTACTCACTACCAGTATACGTCTGTACATAATAAGTGCGTCGACCCATTTTGGTCCTACGCCTGATAAAGTGGACAAAGCATCAAAGGCATCAGCACAACTCGCAACCAACTTCCAAAGTTATCTATATAACCAAAAATATTTTTGAGTGCAGTGCTTGTTGTCAACAAGTGAATATCAACCGACATGACGACACCGAAAGGAGTAGGTTTGGACTCTTTGCCGGTCATCGATCTGTCCAAGATTCACAGTGACCGCGAGGGCCTTGCCGCCAAGCTTGTCCACGCTATGGAACATGTCGGCTTCGTGTACTTAGACAACGTGCCCGGGTTTAACTCCACCGAGTTGCTTCGAATGGCATCTTGGTTTCTGACGCAACCTGAGCAGTGGAAGAAACAGGTGTGTTGTTTTCTTCTTCTCTCTTTCAAATCTCTCTCTCTCTCTTACGGCTGTGTTTGTGTTGACCTTACAGTTATGGCCCCGGTTTAGTGAGCCATTTGATGCACAATAAAATTGGGGCAAAGGTAAACCCAGCACCTGTGCTATATTTAATTCGCATATTTGGGACGAAGAAAGAGCATGCACTGTGTGTTGAAGTGACAAAATTCCAGAATTATCAATTTACTCAACATAATTCCGTCTTGGGAGCCAACCCTCTTAAAGCAGGAGAGCTCTGTTTAAAGACTTGACCCCACAACGTTAACTTTTCGTTCTCTGTGATTCTGCGTATTTTTCCAGAGACCTCGAATTAAGTCAAATTTGTTTTACATTACGTGCAATTAAACTAAATTATGTGCCATTAGCATACAAGTGATTCATGTTGAGAAGTGCGCATTTGAATAATTATTACTTTTCTGCTTTTAACCTCAGGTGGCTACTAAAGTTTGGAACCCGAACCCCGAAGTCAAAAATCTTTACCGCGGCTATTTTCCTGTTGATCCCAAAGCCAGTTCCTACAAGGAAGGCTTCGAGATCGGCATAGATCTACCTGGGGACGACCCAGATTCGAAGATGACCGTTTTGTATGAGCCAAATCTATGGCCGGTGGAGGATGCCACCTCACCTTCGTTTCGTCAATATATGACAGACTACTACAAGAACATGACTGAGATCGGCATTGACATCATGCAGTTGATTGCAATTGGTCTGGAAATTGAAGAAAACTCTTTTACAAGGATATTCAGCGAGAAACCGTTGTCAACCCTGAGGCTTATTCGTTATCCAAGACGTTACGACACGCCGCCAGAGGTCGCTCACGGTTGCGACGGTCACCCGCTCCACTGCAACGAACATTCTGATTCAGTTTTTCTGACCTTACTGGCTACATTTAACTACGCGGGCCTGCAGATTCAGAACGAGCAAGGCCACTGGGTAAATGTCACTCCACGTCCGAACGGGCTCGTCATGAATATAGGAGACGTCCTTCAGCAGATGACTGGCGGGAGATTGAAAGCCACGCGTCATCGCGTCCTCGACCTTGGCGTAGAGCGCATGTCAGTTGCCTTTTTTCTGGAGCCCAACTACCATGCTGATATTTCCCGTGCTCTGATTGAGCCAAAATTGAAAGATGGTTCACATTTAACTGACGCGACGAACACAACATATGGTCCTTGGCTGATCAACCGAATGAAGAATACCAAGAAAAATGCAGAATATAAAGACGCAGATTTTTACTAAGTTAAAGCAGAATTGAAAATACTATTATTTTTTAATCATCATAACATAAAAATGTAGATGCAGATGCCGATTGGAAGACTCACTCAATTTTTTTCTAGTTTTTTTTTTCTTTGCAGATAACCGATTTTTATTTTAATTTCTTTCTTTTTTTATAGAACAATCAATTACATTTCTGATTAATTTTCATGTTGAAGTGAAAACAAAAGAAAATAAACAATGTTATGGTCAACAGAGTAGTTCTTTATTAGTTCGCCAATTTTAAGGCAAAACTGCCATGATCACAAATAGTAGACGCCATAATTTAAGAAACAAGCTCTCCTGGAATGATAATACCAGTTATGGCTTAGCTTTGCAACGTGTTAGAAGAAGGTGATATCTACGACCTGCGCCACAGGTGAAAATTTCAAACGTTTAAAAAGAAAAACTGGTGGAGCAGTAAGAAGGCGCTCCAGTGGGAATCCATTTAGGTTTTCAGGATAGAGAATATTCTGCAAACAAAACGGTGGAGCAGCATATTGAGGCAGCCTTTTTTTGCCCTTATCTGCCCTTGACCCCCCCCCCCCCCCCCTTATTACTGAATAAGCCTGTTGAGCGTGCTATGGGGATTTATGATATATTCTGTCTCGAGTCAGAATCTAGTGCGGACTGCTGTCAAAGAGTTTTACAGGTGGTTTGCGTCCCATCACTTTTAGTTATTAACGTGATATTAATCGCCCGACGTGATATATACACTTCTTGTGATATCGAGTACATTCATATTGCAGGAATTATAAAGTATTGCATGTATAGTAAACAAATTATGAACAAACAGACTTTAAGCGCAAATAAATAAAAAAACGAATAGATAAATATTATTGACCTATTTTCCTGGGGGCCCTAAAAATTTTCCGGTACTTACCGACCCTCTCTTTACTGAGTTCTTTACTCCAAGAAATAATTAAAAAGCTCAATGAAAGCCACTTTCGTCACTGATAATCATGTATAGCTAATTTTTCTGGACAAACAACGAGCTCGGTGTCTTGTAAAAGGGGGCGGTGTAACAGTAATGTTACAGTGAATGTTAAATTACCACAGAAAACAGCCGTCATGCTACACAGCAAAACCACTAGCTACAACCCCAACTACACCGTGCTTACGACCGGTTGGAGAAGAGTTTTGGTCCACCTACAGTGTATCACAAGGATGAGAGCGGGCCAAAATAAGTTGTAATGACGGAAGATGGATAGTATATCCCTCCTACCCTCCCCCCTGCCCCCCCCCCCCAAAAAAAAAAAAAACAAAAAAATAAAATAAATAAAAAAAAGTCAGGAAAGCAACTGAACGCGACCCACCGTTTGCCTTGGCTTGTCGAGAACTAGGTGACGTCACAAGGTAGGCGGAGTCTGTCGTGATCGACAGTTTACCTTGCATTTTGAGCACTCCTCTGAACACAGCGTCACTGTGTGTGTCTGTTCAATCAATACCCAAATAATATAGCCATAACGCTGGTATAGAATGGGTTCCACGTCCAAGCCGTGCTTGCCGATCATAGACTACAGTAAGGCTAAAACTGACCGCCTGGCGGTGGCTAAAGAGCTAGTGGATGCGCTAGAGCATGGAGGTTTCGCCTACATTGACAACGTGGACTGTTTTGAACCGTGGGAGTTGCTGAAGAGGGCCGAGTGGTTCTTCTCTAAACCGGACGCTTGGAAAAGGAAGGTACGTAGGATAGGCCTACTTGCACGTTAACTAACAAGAATGTGACCGACATACTTTAACATTCAGGCCCATGATCCGTGAAACAAAAGGCACTTGTTTTGGCTCAGATCGACTTAGAATACAGGTATCTTGATTTGAATTCTGCAAGGCCTGTGGCCCTTAACCTTTGGGGTGTTGGATGTAGAGGAGCGGAGGGTGGCTTTGAAACCTGAGAAAAAGAAGCGACCAGTACTATCCACACTAGGCTGTAGCAACCGTCACTTATTAGGCCTGTACGTTCTGAGAGAGGTTTACATGGTTGATAAGGGTCAAAAGTGAGAAATCTAGCAGCGATAGGAACGATAAAGAATTGCAATGAAAACCAATAGTAATAAGAGTGTTTTCAGATAAAATGAATTTATTTCCTCGTGAATAATCATTAGAACGGCCGTGTTTTACAGCAGCATTTTTAAGTGGTTGATACCAGTGGCTTATTGCTGATTTGTTATTAGACTGATATAAGTGGGTGGGGTGGGGTGGGGGGGTGTACAAGGTTGGTAGATATCTACATGTAGATGGGTGGTGAAGTACCAGTACGTAACTGCAAAGTTAACCCTGTCACAAAAAAGTGAAATCTAGCCAATGGCAATTTGTACAATATGCCGTGTCGACAAATAAAACTATTGTTTGCTTTTCTGACATTTTTATCACTGGTGTCAGATCTGTCAAAATAAACCTACTACCGTCAAGGCCACCGTGCCATTCAACGATAATAGCGTTTTAGTGTGACTAAAAATACTGCCTGCAACTGTGAGAATAGAGCACGTGTTGGGGGGGGGGGGGGGGGGGGGGTGAGGGTGCGGCAGAGATGATAGGTGAAAAGAGAATAACCTAGCAGCCATTTTAGGCATTACACCTGTCAGTTCATACCTTCTATCCCAGGTTGACATAAAAGGTAACAACCAACATCCAAACAGAACAATCATTTGATAACAAAATATACCGTTGATAATAAACATATCAGCCGTCACAAAAATTGCTTGGGTTTTACTTACCTGTAACTCATCCACCAAGTTTTGCCTAATTTTAATATCTAGACCCATTAATTTTTCTGCTAAAGTTTATCTTCTGTTTTAGGTTGGAACCAAAAACTACAATCCCGATCCAAACTGTAAAAATGTTTATCGCGGATTCTTCGCCGCGAACCCAGTCGGGAACTCGTATAAGGAGGGTTTTGAGTTCGGCGCCGAACTTCCGTTAGACGACCCCGTCATGACGCGCACGCTCCTCTACGAGCATGTCACGTGGCCGGAAGAAGACCCTGACCGCCCAAACTTTTTCCGGGAATACCTTCAGAACTACCAGAAGAAAATGGCGGCAGTTTGTAAAGATATACTCCACATGATTGCCCTTGGTTTAGGACTGGAGGAAACGGCCTTTGATTGTTTGATTGAGAAACCACTGTCCACGATGCGCATGCTACGGTATCCGGTGCGAACAGGTCCTCATCCGGAAGCCGCCGTGGGGTCTGACGGGAAAAAGCTACACTGTGATGAACACACCGACAGCGACCTTCTTACACTGGTGGCGGCGTTTAATTTCCCGGGACTGCAGATACAGAAGGACGACGAAAACATCGCCATGACTGAATGGCTGACCGTAGACTGCCGCCCGAATAGCCTCATCATGAACATTGGCGAGTGCTTGTCGCGCATGACTGGCGGGAGATTGAAAGCCACGCGTCACCGCGTCCTTGACCTTGGGGTTCAGAGAATTTCGATGCCGTTCTTCATGGAACCGAGCTACGACGCTGATATTTCGAAGGTTTTCGTCGGGGACAAGTCACACGGGGACAAGTGGATCACAGACCCAACGTGCACTACGTATGGACTGTGGTCTCTCAAACGCTATAAAGCCAAAAGTAACACCGAGTACGCAGGCACAGATTTGTATTAACACTATCCAAGGAGTTATAACAGAAGGCCTTCTGTTATAACTCCTTGCACTATCCTTAACTTAAATCGCCCTGCCTCTTGAATATTCCTTTTGCAAAGATAAACAGGATAATACTACAACCTTTTTGGTGTGCAAGGTGAAGTACTATGTACTTCAGTCGGATGCAGCTGAAAAAAAGTATATTTGACACAAGGGACTGTCTACTTTAAAATGTTTTATTACTAAGAGTATTTTGTGCTCTTCCAAGTGGGACTTTGGTGCTTATTTAAAGTAGATTTAAAATGTAGGATATATATTTTTGGTATATGGGATATATAATAATAATAATAATAATAATAATAATAATAATAATAATAATAATAATAATGTTCATTTTCAACTATAATAGATGGATTGTACAGTGATATAAATTGTTTATTTCTCTAAATGAAATAAGATAAATAAAATTGGTTATTTTAAAAAGTGTTAAGATTAAATAAAATATTCGGTTCTCGAAGAATATTTTAAAAATACATTAAAATAAAGGTCACAACACACTTAAAGTTTTTAAAAGGTTTTCAGTCTCCATGGTATGGGTGTCTTTGGAGATCTGATAGTTTCAATTTTGGTACGGTATATTTCTTAGTTCGACGCAGAGTAAATGGCATGTTTTTTCATTTGCCTCAGGAGGAAGATGGTGTTTTTTGTGATCTTTGGACATATTGTGGACTTAAGTTTTCGATAGCGTATCCCTTCTGCCGGTAACTGCTCAGAATGTTTCACTGTTAGGAATTTTGACGCGTAGAAGCGTATGCGTTCATACACAGAAAGCTCTGCTCTTTTCAATAGTTTTAGATAGTGAAGTCTTTGACTTGCTTTTTTACATATACATCTGATATGCGCCCCCCCCCCTCCAGATCAAATTGTAATTGTTCTTTACGCCTAATAACACACCAGACCCCGCTCTCTGTCTTTTTTCCAGACATGAACGCGAAAGGATGCATTGTTATCAAAACAGATGGTTAATATACAGTGCATGTTTGGTGTATGAAGACAATTAATGTTTACATATGTTTTAGAATAGAAACTTATAAGAACTTTGTTGAAGGGCTGCTATGAGAAAGAAAAACATCGAAATACAGAATGGGTGAAGAATTTGTAGTCTTCATGGTTATATGTAAAGTATTAGCGAAAACCAAGCGTCGCAGTACCTCTTACTTAATGGTACACCCAGAGGAGGGCACAGCAGTCACGTGACCTACCTAATTAAATTTCTGGGCCTATCCCCTTCGTCCTTTCGACTCTCCCTTTAAAGGTTAATCGAGCAACATAAGAGAAAACCAAGCAATTCTTGCCATTACTTTGCCCGACTTGGCTGCTGTATTAAATATGTTTATGCTCGTGCTTCCCTCCCTTATCTATTGGACTTAATGCTCTCAATTTTGAGTTTTCTTTGTTCGAATTTAAGTAAAGACACGCGGTCAGGTTTTTATGTGTACAGAAATTATATGATACAATGTAATAAATCTTAAAGTGCATGTTGAATACATTTCGACTTTTGTCGCTATCACGCGCGTTTCTAGTGACATTTGAAAAGTCTTGCTGTGTCACTTCACTTTTATATATGTAGTGTTTTATCGTTATTCACAATGCTCACGCACGTCTTGTCCTATGGCTTTATCATACTATCTCCTTTGGACAGGTGTTTTAAGTCACAGAACTTGAACCTGTTCATGACATGGTTATCAACGACAGCAGTTCAACAAGAAAAGCCAATTTATGCACAGAACAGGTGTTCGCTCCGGCCGCACAATCAGATAAGAATATTATGCAATAATTCTGAAGATGAAAATTAAAATGGTTACACGTATAAAAAACTCCTTCATTACGCTCAAAAGTTACAACAACAGCTAAGTAAGTTTAAATTATTACCTAGGTACAGAGGTTACTGTATAGCACAACAGTGCATTCTCAGATGGTGTGACAATGAAATATTGAAAAACAATGGAATGGTAATAACTCTTATTAAAGAGGTTGTTGGAAGAATCTGTAATTGTAATTTTGAGTGCATAATACATTGTACTGATGACACTCTTTGCTGGATCCACAATTACAGGTGCGGATCCAGATATATATTCTGACAGTCTTCCAAATTATCTTTGTTGATCCATACTTCATATTTGACCGTCTTCCGACAGTAAAATGGATACCCGTCAATGTAAACATGAAAATCTGACCGTATTCCGGAAGACCCAGAAGACGGCCTAAATCCACCCCTGAATTACACCTTTTTGCTCCCGCTACCCCCCCCCCCTTCCATTCAAAAAGGGTTATAACCCAGTACGGACTGGTAATATCTCACGAGTCTTTTATTTTTACCTGATTCCTCTCACTCCGACGCCATGCGTTGTATATACTGTTTAATAGGTCGTATTTCAAAAACGGCATTAAGTGACGGCCCCAAGTTGACTGATCTGCACCCAGATAGAGTGCTAGTCCAGTGTCGCCAATAACACAAGTGGTGGTGGGTCCCTAGTGGTCCGGGTAACCCAACACATTTGCTTCGAAGGTTCCCCCTCCCCTCTTCTCCCTTATATATATATATATAACAAGCAGAACGAGACAAAACTGGGCAATTTTATCCCATATATTGTCCTTCTCGAGAAATTTATTTTGTTCACTCGGTTAAAATATTTAAATCTTGTACCCCCATACCACTTCAGCCATTTAACAAAATCCAGGTGGAGCGTCCATTCAAATTATTTTCATGTCATCCTTTCACCAAATAATTGGTTAGATAGAAATCAACGGGACCCTAACAACATCATCTCTGCAAATCGTTGACTTTTTATAGAGGCAAAATCCACTTGGTTGTGGTCAGAATTTAAGTCGTGCCTCAGGTGCCTGGGTCTCATAAGACTACACAATTTTTGGCCCCTAAGTTACGTTGACCTAAACTTTGCCCACATGCGTCGTTAGTTAATACACACATTGATGATTCATTGACACTTTATTCACCGAGTACAGAGTTACCGTGTGTCTATGCACCCAATCTTTAGTTCAATACAAATATAGCCATAACTCTGGTATAGAATGGGTTCCACGTCCAAGCCGTGCTTGCCGATCATAGACTACAGTAAGGCTAAAACTGACCGCCTGGCGGTGGCTAGAGAGCTAGTGGATGCGCTAGAGCATGGAGGTTTCGCCTACATTGACAATGTGGACTGTTTTGAACCGTGGGAGTTGCTGAAGAGGGCAGAGTGGTTCTTTTCTAAACCGGACGCTTGGAAAAGGAAGGTGAATTTAAAAGGGAGACTCATTACACTGTTATCATTTTTGCTGTGTTTAAAGAAAGTTAGTAAATATTAGCTTATGCAGCTGGGTCAATATACACAATATGATAAGAAAGTGTGATTTGAGATAGTAAAGTGCATTAGGTAATCTTAACGTGTCACCCAACTTTAAGGTTGCGTGTATTGATAACTCAGTATTAATGGTTAGGGCACAGACTCTTCGTCAAGATCAGAAATTTGTGTGAAAATTGGATTATATTTCAACGTCATCTTTGTGGGCTATTGCCGACATCTTTTTGCCTTCATCGTTAAATTATATCATCCATAATTAATTTTAAACAAAACTGATTTTTAAAAAGTTTAATCTTACATAAAAGAGTCCTTTTCTTTAAAATATTTTTTCTTTAAAAAAAGTAAAAAGAACAATACATCTTGATTTTAGAACATCCAGCTACGAGTCGCAAGGTTTCCTTTCTTTACTTGGAGACTCAGATTTAAAAGTTCTGCGCTGAACATCGTCCAATTTTAACTAATTATTCCGCTTTCTACTCTCAATTCTTTCATCACGCCTGGTTTAAACGTATTATAATTACTTTTTATTCCAGGTGTCAATATATTGTCAATAATACGATGAACGGTTTCGGTAGTGATGCGCGATATAAACTTTATCTAGTTTTAATTGAATTATTTCTCCACTGCTTACTGTCAACTTTTATTTTCTTCTATTTAATACATTATATCCAAATACTTTTTCTTGATCCTTTCTGCTCAGGTTTTACCTGATTCTTAATAAACTAAGAGTCTTTCCTGTAACATATTTAAGTCCACGTGTATTTTGTTCGAACATTTCATATTCTCTTTACTTGGAATTTGTTAAACCATTTTTTGCAGGTTGCAACGAAAAACTACAACCATGACCCAAACTGCAAAAACGTATATCGTGGCTACTTTGCACCAAACCCAGAAGGCAATTCCTACAAAGAAGGATTCGATTTTGGCGCGGAGCTGCCTTACGATGACCCAATCATGAAGCGCACCCTTCTCTATGAGCACGTCACGTGGCCAGATGAAGACGACGACTGTCCAAACTTCCGAGAATATCTTCAGAAGCATCATGACAATATGACAGTGGTTTCTAAGGACATTCTCCGCATGATTGCTCTAGGATTGGGCTTAGAAGAAAGTGCATTTGACAGCATGATTGAGAATAAGCCTATGTCGACGATGCGCATGCTTTGCTACCCTGTCCGAACAGGACCTCATCCGGAAGCCGCCGTGGGATCTGACGGGAAAAAGCTACACTGTGATGAACACACCGACAGCGCTCTGTTGACTCTTCTGGCAACGTTCAACTTCCCTGGGCTGCAGATACAGAAGGACGACGAAAACATCGCCATGACAGAATGGCTGACCGTGGACTGTCGCCTGAACTCGCTCGTGATGAACATCGGCGAGTGCCTATCGCGCATGACTGGCGGGATATTGAAAGCCACGCGTCACCGTGTTCTCGATCTTGGCGTCCAAAGGATTTCCATGCCGTTCTTCCAGGGGGCAAGATATGACGCCGACATATCACAGGTCTTCGTCGGGGACAAATCTCACGGGGACAAGTGGATAACTGATCCAACATGTACAACTTACGCGCTCTGGTCACTAAAACGGTACAAGGCGAAAAGTAATACGGAATACGCAAACACTGAACTTTATTGACAAATTATGAACAAATTCTTTTAGAAAATCCCTTTCATTCAGATCATTTTAAAGCTTTCTTTTATCTTGTGTTTGAAATTTCCAAGACGACCTCAGGAGCAAATAAAATGACGGTAGATGAAAAGGATCAGGAAACAATAAAGAACTACAATTTTAGTTGTTTTTTTTTTTTTTTTCAATAAATTATCTTTTGATAAGAAAAATGGAATATTAATTCTATGCTCCGATGATTTGTTAATATTTAATGCCATAGGGAGCCTGCAGTATTTCGCCCAAAAAGCATTGGATGGAGCTTTGATCCTTATCTAATTACAATAACAAATCGCTTGATCTCTTACTTAAATATAAGTTATCAGCTGCAGTTCGCCTTCCAAACACATTCCCCATATAACCTCTTCTTTCTTGCTTCTCCATCTTCCTTTTCCCTTCTTTTCATGATGTCCTATATGTCTGAATGAAATGTTCCCAACCCTGTCTCCTGTGTATTGTAGCAAATCTACCCTGCTTTTCTTCGGTAGCTAACATGTGAGGTTATATAGGCCTAAATTGCCCTAGGCTGCCCGGCCCCTCCTTCCCGGCCAACTTCCACGACAATGAACAAAACCGCAGAGTAATGTCAAAAGTGCATTATTTTAATTGTGGTGAATAGTAATAAAAACCTCCTTCTCATATCACTTTAAGGGTCATCTCCGCTAAAACTATTCGAGTGTCGTTTTAAAGGCCTATTAGCTGCAGTAGTAGGACCTAACTTGCACGAGAGCATAGCAGCCAGATGGGCAGCCGCATTGCTTCCCTTGGATCCTCTACCACAATGTGATTTATAAGTAGGTCACCTTGTTATACTCTGAAATACCATGAAGCGTTTTCCTCGTGAGGCAGCATGAGGAACATCTGATTTAGGAGGAATCATATATCGTGACACCTAATTTTTTTACATAAATATGAATGAGATATATGAATATAATCACTCACCCAGAATGACGCTTATACAATATTATGAGTCGAGATTAACGGACTTCCGCCATTTTGAAAACCACTTGATGCCGTGAGAGCTTAGTGTTTTGACAGTCACAATCCAGGTAAGTTAGTGAGTGATTGCGAACGTTTATTTACTGTCAAATGGAAATTAACGGTTAATGGTCCGCGTGTTTCTTACTGTTATTGGTGTATATGCATATCACCTTCCAGGGAGTTGGTCTTACACAAATTTCAATGAAGCCAACAATTAATTTTACTACTAGTAATTATTTCACTAAATCAGTGTTAAATTGGAGGAAAATGAAAAATAAAATATTATTGAGACTGATGGTCAAGGGTTTCCTTTATTTCTATATCTTGTTTTGAAGCTAAGTAAATACTAATGCTTGCTTTCAAGTTTGTTAACACACATCTGTTAAATTTATCGTAAAATCTTTTAAATCGTAAAAATCCCATCGGTGGCTGCAGTGTTACACGCTCAAGTGGGAATCTTAATTTCACTTCCATGTGAAAACCCATTTTTTTGGGGGGATGGAGCGCAGTGACTGCTGAAATACTTCAGGCAGCATATAACCCATGCTGGTATGTTTAATTGTTTTTACAGATGAAATATGGCACCAGAAGAAGAAAAACAGAGATTGGTTTAGCTGATGTAAAATACTTGACATACAAAATCAAACTTAATCCAGCTAAGGCACATTCAGGAATTTATGTGCTATTTTTTTGACACTGGCAGTTGTATAGAAGCTTTATTGCATATTGATAGCATAATATGCTTTATTATGCCCAGTGCCTGGACATAAAGCAACCACAGTCAAGTTAACGTTTGCTCGATCAAGAAGCCCTGAAGTATTACAAATATAAAACTGTGCTTCAGCATCCATATAGATATCAGTAAATCTGTTTTGTGTTATATAAAAGGGATTCTCAACTGTGACATTGCCTGTGCAGTAATTATCCAGAATACAGTATGTGACACATGGAAGAACAGCAATACCAACCTGTTACCAGTGTAGTGCTGTAGTTAAAGCATGCTGCAGTGTGTTGTTACTGTTACTGTTGTTGTCGACAGCGTCAGGAATGTCCTCGAGCAGAAAAGGATCAGTTGATTCGCCAGACAGTAATTCCTGGATGGAGTGGACGGTAAGTGTGTGTGTGTGTGTGTTAATATATATACACACACACACATATATATAAACCATATTATATGGTTTATATATAATAGGTAAAAAAGTAAGTTGTGTCACAGAGGCTGACTTTAATGTTAGCTGGGGTGAATTTATTTAGTATGATGCTTGAATCCTAAATTGAAGGCCTTGATCTAGTGACTCATAGCTGTGAGCTGTCTTATAGAACAATTTACTTTTTTATCTCACAAGAGATAATGAAACACCTGCAGTTACTCATTATTACAATGATTGTAGTCACTAAGACCACATAAAAATATATATATATTTTTTTGTAATTTATATATTTTCACCATAATGAGTGGCAGTAGCATAAGTAGTCTTTTATTTTCTGTTTCAGCAACAATTACAAGCATACATTGCTTGGGTGAACTCCCAGCTGAAGAAAAAGCCTAACACACGCATTGTGGAGGATTTGAGGCGGGACATGGTAGATGGCGTTGCACTGGTTCAACTGGTGGAAATTGTTGGTCAGTATATTGTCCTTTTAATTTATTATTCATAAAAAGCAGTCTCGTATCTGTCCCAGTTCTTACTGATGAAACAGAACAGTTTTTGTGACTTTAAACTATGTCTCTTGTATTTATTAAATGCTTTTAGGAAATTTTAAGAAAATCTGATGTTGTATCCTTGATTAAATAGCCAAAATCAAAATTTACTGGTTAGAAGATGTAATCTGTAGATAATGATAAATATAACTAAAAGAATTGCAAAATTTTCCATCAGTAACTTGAAAAATTTAACCTTTATTAGTTCAACAACAAATTTAATAGTCAATGGATTATGTCATAGACTTGCTTAGATGTGAAACAAAGATTTGAGTCATCCACGTCTTTTAGGAGAAAATGGTAATTATGAGTTTGCTAAATGTGATACCATATGATTACATGCGATGAATATTGATTATTTTCAGCGGGCGAGAAGTTAGCTGGGGTGAATTATGAGCCTGCAAACCCACATGACATGAAAGAGAACATAGAGAGAGTCCTGCAGTTCATGGCAGCCAGGAGGATACGGATGCATCATACCACAGCCAAAGGTAACCTCCCACTGTGCACATGGCACAAACTGGGGCAGTATTGTAGGCTCAGAGGCCTGCAGGCCCTGCCAAGAGTATTATTAGATATTACAGGGCCAAAACTAAGACATTATTAATCTGTGGTGTTTAGGCCACACAGGATTTGAAGCAACTTCCCTTGGCAAAAATAACTTAAACTACATGTACTGTAGTAAAATTTATCAAGAAGAAAAAAACCAACTTCTTGAAAAACGTACTGATATTTGAAAAGATTTATGATGTTTAACTTTAATAACAAATATTTATTATTGTTTCAGATATTGTAGAAGGTAACTTGAAGTCCATAATGCGCCTGATCCTGGCCCTAGCCGCCCACTTCAAACCAGACAGTGTAAAACACTCTGCACACCAGTACAGGTCTCCAAGGACTAATGTTGCTGGCATTGCACAGGTAAAATGCACTAATATGATTATAAGATTCCACTGGCCACAAGAAATGGGCATTTTCATTTCACAAATCCTATTTACCATGGAACTGTGGCTGTAAATGTATATGATGGTTAATAGTCTGATGGAAATTGATTTATGTAGTAATGTAACTCATATTGATAAAATTTTAAACTTCCATTTCCACACTTACTGAAAGCACACCTGCAATACCTTTCATCCCAACACTTGAACAAGAACGGGAGGAGGCACAAACCTGTTTCACATCTGGGACAGTGTTATAATACTCTCTAAACTTTTTACTATACATTGTCTCCTGACTTCTGAACTTCTGATTGATGAAGTGTTTGGACAAAAACTTTCATTAAGGTAGAAATTGAAAAGTTTAAGATTTGATCAATTAAAAGTTCATAGTTACTGACTGCTTAAACAGCATGTGAAATATCTTCACCATCTGTTATGCTATGTTTCCAGGCAGCGGCTGCGGCACTAGCTGATGCTAGGAGAGACGTGGCCAGTATGGGACAAAGGGTCCGCAGACCAAAGGAATTATCCTCAAGAGGTGACCTCTCCCCAAGGTGAGGTGCTCCCAACACTGCCAGTTTACTCGTATTTTTTTTCACATTTGTTACTTGTTAGTTAAGTGGCATGCTGTTTCTAGATATTTATATTATTGACTTTGGCTGACTCAGTAAGGTCACTTTTTTGTCGAGGATCAATCCAGCGCTGGAATAATTGATGCTGATCACTGAGGTCAGTTATCCCAGTTTTGGGTTAACCCGAGCCAAAAGGTGACCAAATGGCAAAGTCTGTAACGGCTTTAGTGTGTGACAGTGTGATCACAAATTTTTATGATAATTGAAAATGAGCCACATTGAGAACTTTCAAGATCAATGTTGTACAAGTAAAACAGAATGCATGGTTATGTCGAAGAAACCAGACCCACCACAGTGCAATATCACATGCATGAAGAAAGTCAAAGGTCCAGGTTTAGGTGTAGATGTTAATATTTACAAACTTTGTTTCAGATATTACAGTAGCTCGGACCAGCAGAGTGACTCGGACCATAGCTATAGTAGCAGTGGGCGCATACGCAACATACGCGCCCACAACATAGAAGGTGCTAGCCCTATGTCGAGTCCCGTTGTCAGTGCGTCGCACAGTCCTCAGCCCAGTGGTGCCCTCTTGGGGAATTCCAAAACTGGTCACGGAGCGCTCAGGAAAAGTTTGTCTGCTGACTTTGATATGGGTATGATTCATGGCCTGTGGCCATTTGTGTGGATGATACACATTTGATATTTGTTAAGGCTCATTTCCAATAAAATTATCCTTCTACATAGATCGAAGGCACACCGATATCATTTCTTTAATAACTCTTTTCATATACTCTAGTGGCAGGCAAGGGGGACAGAGACCAAGGTGCCAAAGCTCAGAAAGTAATAGAGCACATGCAGCGACAGACGGACCAGGCATGGAATGAGGTGTTATCTGAACAGGAGGACATTTCCGCTGATGTCATTGAGGCCAAGAAAATGATTGTCAAGCTGCAGGAACTGGTAAGCATGGGAGAGAAAGGGATGATGATAATATTACCCCCCCTCCCCCATCCC